CACGTGTCAACGCATCCAAAATCGGCAATCTTGGTCGTATTTTAATTCTCCGAGGAGTCCTAAGCTCTTCTCAGATGTCACTGTTTCTTTGCATTCCAAAGTCGTTAGTTAGAATACTTAGTAATGGTTTCATAAGGCCAAATTCTGCCCCCAACTTTTTTGCCACTGTGTGGGAAGATGTAGTTCTTCTTTTTTGTTATTCCTTCGGCATTTTCACATTGACGCTTTTTTACGATTCTCTCTCACTTCTTACTAACGCGCAAAATAAAAATGACGCGAGTTGGGTCTTGCCTCAGCAATTACTTTCCTCTTCTCCCTTCTTGAGCATTGGGGGTCTGCGATCCACCCATCTCACAGCTATCCACCTCTTCGAGGCACATCACTTCCTGTAACTCTACAGAGAGGGTTTGGTGGGTCAATCATAAGAAGCTGAAGGAGTCCAACTTCTTTGCATTATCTCCATCGTTCTACTTAGTCGTGATAATTTGCGGATTTATTCATCCCCGCTGTACAGAGACCTACCTAGTCTTTATCGAACCGATTACTGATGAGGTGGTAATTGGGACAATTGGTAGTTGCCTCCGCTCTCCTCTTTTCCTCTCTTGTCACTTTAGTCATGAACTGTAATGTCATCCTATGTTGCATTTGTAGGATCAACGTATAGCAAGTTTGGTGGATGCTTTGGAAGCAGCAAAACAGTCGAAGGAGCAAGCTCAACTAGCAACCCGCCATGCCTTGATGGAGGAGCAGGAGCGTTCTGCCCAGTATCTCGAGTGTCTGAAGGTAAGTTCTGTTGTGTTTAGCAATGGTGGCCCTAATAAACTCATCGAGGAAGAGAGTATTTACGAAATAAGCTGACATAGTCTTTGCAAAAACTAACAATTTTTGGTTTGCTTCTTGTAATTACTCTCTCTTCGTTGGTAATCGCAGTTGTAATTAACCAAATTAAGGTCAACCGATGGTCAAGGTCGGAGTTTGGACTATGATTTTTCATTGCACTGAAAAGAAATTCATATCGGCTTCAGTTGATTTCTTATGCCATTCTTTAGCCCGTGTTTCCATTAGTGCGGAGGGATTTTTAGGGACATTTTGTTCCTTAGCTTATGCAAATCTTCACTGCTTTATAAATACCTTACACTGACTCTACTTCACAATCAAATGACTCTTCGAGATTAAGGGTTCTGGAGGCATATCGTCAACGCTGCCAACTAAATAGCGCTTGAGTTGCTTCTGAAGGCGTTTTGGCGCAGCTTAGCGCGCCCATAGCTTAGCATCAGGGGTACAAAAGGTCAACACCGTGGGTGGTATGGGGTTATTGCACCAGCACGCAATCTGAGCTGTGTGAGAGACCAGAAGAACCCGCATAATGCTCTTTAGAAAGGCTGCTAGTCCTTCGTTTTGCGTTTAGTATTTTTAGCTCTGTGTGTGTGTGTGTGTGACGTGCCTGTGAAATCGCTCCTCGGCAAAGGCAATTGCATTAGTTCTGGAGGTTTCGATTTCGAGTACCTTGGTTATTATTCCGCTCCATTACTTCATATTGGAGTGGATGTGAAAACGCGATCGTCTGCACTGTTTAAGTTTCTTTGAGTACTGACTGCTCGAAAGTAATTGCAGTCCTCCAAAGCACCTATAATATGCGAGAGGAATCAGTAACTGGCAGTGTGTGATATCCATGGATCCAAATGCTGGAAGTAGACTATAAAGGTCCGGTAACCTGCTATCTAACCTAGCCTACTAGACCTATAACGTATCTGAGGCTTGACAACTCTATACATTTTTGTCGGCCTGGGCTCGTCTGGCATGGGTCTTTCTCCGCTCCTGTGGCTCGGTGAGTTTAGTCTTTTATGGTCCAATCTTTTTTTCATGGTAAGCAAACGATTTACGTAGGTATAAATTGGTTTCGATGCCGAAGCTACTGAGAGCATAGC